AGACAAGTTTTACAAAGTTTGTATAATAAGCTTTCAGAAAATATATAACATGTTGGATATATAATACCATCTTCATTGTCTAATTACTCAATTAAAAAGCAAGCCAAATATACTGCATCTCTACTTAAACATTGAATACTAGTATACACTTTTTACCTAATAAAAAAGGCGCCCTCTTGTTGCTATGTGCTCTGTTAAAACGACGTGGATGGATGAGAGCAATGTTGTCCAAGGCGACAACTGCGTTCGGTTGTGATGTCTTTCCCCACTTAGATAATTACACATCTCCCAACAACTTTATTTTATTTTGTCGTAGATCGAAGCAAAACGCCGTGAATGACTTGGCTTATATCACAATAGCGCTTCGTCGCCAAATAGCGCGATTTATAACGAACGGTATACTGATTCAATGAATTTCTGGATTTTTAAAGAGAACATTGATAGTAAATATTGTTTACGTGAAAGGCCTTGCCGTTATTTGTCACGTATCAGGTGACTAATGTAATGTTTCACACCTTTTAGAATATTGAGTATCAATGAAACCACTGCACCACCCGACGGTGGCGGCGCTGTATACGCGGTGAAATCGCCAAGTTGTATCCTGAGAGGTGTCTTTGTCTTTGCTCGGTAACTAAGAAGATCTTCAACAGTAATTATCCCACCTGTAAACAAAAATAACGTAATATATACGTATGTAAGTCTGTCGTGTTCCCGGATATAACAGTCGTGTTCCCCGATAACAATTAATACCTGGTAGTCGTGTATCCGGATGCTAGTATAAATTACAGTCGTGTTCCCAGATATAAATAATAGTCGTGTTCCAGGATACTGTAAAACCTGTTATTTTTCCTGATATTTTATTTCACTAATTTGATTTTTTGAGCATATTGACTGTGTTTTAATTGCACGAATTTGTCAAGGAAACAATTAACTTTATTGTACATGTTCACCTATATTTAGCGGATTTTACTTTTCAGCGAAAATTATTTTAAAAATTATTATTTTTTCAGTGAATTATTGAATGCATTTACAGTATAAATAATAGTCGTGTTCCCGGAATCGTGTTTTCAAATTATACGTGTGCCAGACCCAGAACGGAAATACACACTGGTGACGAGAATGATATAAGCGGGCGATGTCTAGAAGCAATTTTTCGGTGATTTCACTGTCGCATACGACTTGTTTACCACTTCCGTGTGACTGAGAATGTTCTAGAACCGTACTGTCTGGGTTGAATTTTTAGAAACTGGTTGAATAGGTAATAGAACACTGTAGGAGGCAATAGAAGGTAATGGAACATTCTAAAAATTTGTAGTAAGTTCCAGACTCATTATGTATGCTGATGTAATGGTCTATTTATAGAGAGTGTGGGTATATATAGGGGAGTTGTTCAGCACTGAGATCAGATCGGAGATCTCGTTGAATTGTATTGGAGTTTAAGTATCTAGTTATTGGAGTAGTGGAGTTTTACCGCGTTAATGTACTTGATGTACAGAGTATAATAATACCAGTACCAGTTGAAACCTCATCTGTTGGCTCCGTGTTCGTATTTTATCATCGCCGCCAGGGAAGTCTTTCTGTTACTGTTGCCATTTTGGTATTTGAACCATCACACCTGTACTATACCAATTACGGTAATATTACGTTGCGTGCGACATTCACTCAAAAATCTACCGGAATGCATAAATGCTATGAGTTGTTAACAAAATATAATGTATGTATAAGAAGGCGGATATTTTACTCTCGGAGACATCACGATATGCGTTCAATTTTAATAGGATAACCCATATAGTACGAAATCTTTTGCTATTAATTAGTAAAACGTTTGTTTGAATGGGCACTCTTGAAACAATGTCCTTAGGAATAGTAAATGGCTCGAAAATCCTGTTTTTTTTTTTATGTTCGGAGAAAAAAATGTGAATGACCATATTTAGTCCTACTTCCACGCCAAAATGACGTAGATTGGTATGCCAAAATGACGTAGATTGGTATAAACAATCTAGTCTAAAACAAAAACTCTAGTAGGCTATGTAGCCGTTCGTCATTTAACATTACGCAATCTCTGAAATTATGTTTTTTGACAGCCATTCACAAATCGGCGCTATGGGCGGCATCTGAGTTCCTTGTTTTATTTACGTAACGGAGTGCTTCGTCACTAGAGGGCGTGACGTATACGGACGGTGTATAATAGGGCCACCTACCAGCCTCTTGGATATCCGCCACGATGTCGTACGAAAGTCGGCTAAGGTAGAAAGTATCACTGCCTCCAGCCGCGATTCGTCTCAGTGTTTCGGCTAACTTCGGGCGAGTCATGACGTCACCAGCTTTCATCAACTCGCCATTTGGTTTAACAAAGATTTCTCTGTGAGATACCAACGCAAATATTGGGTTAAACACGATACTATTGTCCTTTGAGAAAACATGACATGCTCAGATCCACAATCCACAAACTCGAGTATTTATAACTTACTAAGATCAATGTTTTATAGGTTTTATAGGTTTCTGTTATTGCGAAGATGCCACAAAATTTCTAACCGTAATGCATTATGGTAATAGTAAATTTTATCCATCTTTCCGTATATAAATAAACTCACACAAGGTTCGGCTGTCGCAATATTGCGTCTTCGCTTTTGGCAATTGCATCAGCCAGCGCCGTACCAACGATGAATCCCTCTTCGGCCATGCGAATAGCTGGTTGGAAGAGATCTTTCCAGGGAAGGTTTCCGTAACGCAGATGAGCCAATCCGAATCCATCTATCTCGCCTGGTACTCCGATCGCAAGACCACCTGTTAGTAAGGAAAAGACGTTTCTAGATATAAATAGATATATATGATGATGTAATTGTGTTTAAATGATATGCAAACATCCCACCATATTCTGGCATGTTCCAAACAACGTGACGTAGGTAGCGACGTGACGTAGGTAGCAACGTGACGTAGGTAGCAACGTGACGTAGGTAGCAAAAAACGTGTTTTCTGTAAAGCAGCTTTTCAAATGAAAATATCGACGCGCAAAACAGAAAAGGTTGACGCGCAAAAATGGAAAAACATTTAGTTGTTTGGTTCAACATTATCAATGAATTTTGAGAAATCGCTAAAACTGCAAAGTGGATGAGAACATGCGGGTTCTAATAATGTTGTTTGATATTGTATGTTATGAATACAGTGGAAAGTGTTTTACCGCGTACTAAAACGCTGTTCTTGTAACAGACATGCAATTCTGTAATACAAAGTACACTAAACGTGCGTATTAGTGCTTTTCATCGAGCGCATACTACTTTCAGGTTGTATTACTAGTCTGAGGACTATTATAGTAGTAGAGCTATATACAGAGTGTTGGAAAAGAAAGTAAGTTTTATCCACACTCAAGGCAAACTCTGGTAAAATACACCGATAGGCCTTATTTGCGAATTATGATTTGAGGGAACCTCATAAAAATATATGATCAGTTCCCATTGGTTTTGATTGATTGGTTCCGTGAAATGAGTGCGCGCTGATTGGTGCATTTGTAAGCTACTGAATGCTACAATGTAGGCGTATTTTACAACGGCTTTCTAATGTCGCAAAGAGGCGAGGATTTACGATGATGATGTACCAGAAAACTCGTCATCGCTTGATTGTCATGTGACTGTCTGTCTTACCGGTTCTAGAAGACATAGGGTCCGGATTGTCAGAATACATTGTCTGTGTGGCGTCTCCCGAGGCAACTTCTCTTGCATCTATCACCTCAACCTGGTTTTTGTCTTTAATGTAAATGACCATAAAATGTCCACCTCCAATGCCATGACTTTGTGTATTGTAAACCCCATTACAAAGCATCGTCGCTATTGCGGCATCTATGGCATTTCCGCCTTCCTTTAGTATATCTCTGGGGACGAACACATATTTCTTTTTTAATATGATTGTATGTATACTACCAGAGGTACATTACTTGGGGTTTGCAACGCACATAGTACTGTATGGTGACATCATGCCAAGATCCCATTCAAGTCTCATCTCGTAGATAGCGAGACGGATGCTACTACCTTCGGACATGACTTTTGTAATAAAACAATAAAATATGTATTACCACATTCATAGTGAAAAAATATAATACATCGAAAATGTACAGAAATATAGTTATCGTAATCCGTCATGTCGTGAGCAGCTATTTTGATCCACCTGGACATCCCAGTATCCTAGTTACCTCGGGCATGCGCATTCGCATTTTTCTGAGTTGGAACGCTTATGTGAGAGCGAGATTGTAACGGGATCTTGGTATCATGACACATAGTTGCAAACCCCAAATAATGTACCTCTGATACTACATATTGGAGAAAAATATATAATTGGTTATAATTTATCATATAGTCCAACATTGTTATTGTACGTACCAAACCAATCAGTGTACATGCGTATTAAAGATTTGCATTGCGTTATCAGAGTTATGTGTTCATTCACATACTGCATTGACAACAGTATTAATAATTATGTGTGTTGCATTCACTACTGACCATACCGTGACTAGCCCACTCGTTATGGTCCATAAACGGTAATGCAGAAAATTAAAATGAGTCACGTACCCAACATTTCAAGAAAAAATGATATATTTTTTGAATCAACCGAAAAAATTAACATCATCATTGAAACAGTTGACAATCCCAAATAAAATATGATCATACTGTTTAAAATAGTATAAAGCCACCCTTTAGAGGAAGCATTGATACAATTTAAAATCGTAATACAGTACCTTCCAACCTCTGAACAGGTGCCGCTATCTGCTGCCACGGCGGCGTTTTTGAAGACGAATCCTGTACTGGAATTAGACGGATTGTTTTCCAGGCATGAGTCGAACATGCAAGTACTGTCCTTAACGCCAAATAATACTGCCAATGTAATGGCGGTAGCAGCTACGACGACGAGGCAACAAATCAGACCTATCCGCCCCTTTGACATCGTTTTTCTGTATCAAGAGAAGAAACACCGTTATTTAGAGTAATGTTTTTATATTAAGCTCACTTGGGTACATTTTATTATGAAACTTAGACTTGCATACATGAGTCTCTAGTTTATTTTGTTGGTGTTTTTATAAAATAAAATATCAGAGTGTATAAATGGCGAAAACCTGGTGACCACGAAATAAAGAAGAAGAATAAGCCTTTCAATCATTGCATCACACATTCATTGAATCCAGGCCGGTAACAATCATCACCGGTATCGCTAGAGGGCGTCTACAAGGGTCACAAGTACCTTGTTTATTTCGCGGAAACGCGACTTTCGCCATTTACACATTCCCATGATATTTCATTGTATTGAAAAAAAAACCGCCATTTACACACTCCTATGATATTTTATTTGATTGAAAAAACCACCAACAAATAAACAAGATACTATATACAAGTCTATATGGAACTAAAAAAGACTCCATGGTAAGATGAACCTTTTAGAAACGGGTACTACCACGACCCCAGTTGCAGAAGTTAGAAATCATAGACAATCATTTGACAGGCGACAAGGACCGTCAAATGTAAGTTGTTTCTAAGTTTATTGTCACCACCTTCAAAAGCAAGTTATTTCCGAGTTTATTGTCGTCACCGTCAAGACAATAAACATTCAACATCAAATATTTACGCATCGACATCCATGTGATTTTCGAGACAGCTCTAAGTTAATTTCAAGTAACGTTTACTGAGGGTTTCCCCCGTAGTTTAGCCATGAGGTTGAAGCATTAAATGACATTTCTATCTTACTACATTTGTATTAGTATTCCCTAAACCCAATGTACATGTATTGTGCATTTCGAATCAACCTGTTGGTTATTTGAATAATAGCTGTAGCAAAGTGAAGATTGTAAATTGCCAGCAATCATGGAGTAAGAGGCCGGCAAACGCATAAGTGCATTGAACTACATATGTCGAAACCTGTTAAGCGCAGCACTCACAACCAAACCCGGCGGAACAACATTCAAAATGGCGACTCGTCAACAGGGTTGACCCTCAGCATGGAGGGGCTGTAAACCGCGACAATAGCAAATTCCCCCCTTTTACATTTTGAGGAAGTCAATACGTTGTCGGATTCTTTTTAAGATTTCAGAAGCCGTACTTGTTTTATAGTTTGTCCTAAGTACGATATAAAAAAATGCTTGACCATGGAAGTGAGCTTGAATTGTATCCACAGTGACATTGACCATGGAGGTATGTATCTGTTTATACCTCCATGCATTGACCAACTGAGACTTAACTTTAGTATACCTTTCGATCGCATGCTTCATACTTCGTACACGCGATAAACCCCGACTTTCTTTCTTCGTATAGTCGATTACTTCCATGATAAAATGTGTAAACACCTACGTTGATTGGAGAGTTGGTTTACGTCATCGGAGTATATCTCGACTTTCTAGCTAACCCACTGTTACTCAAAAAACTATTCATATGCAAATTGAAGTTGACATTTGCAAGAAAATCGCGCCAAAGTCAGATAATAGTTTTGGCCAGACAAGGGAATGCAAATCTCGGTAACGTGCTGGATATGGTATCATGATTGTACCATAGATAGTTTAGTAGTACTACTACTATACTGTCTATGATTGCACCAACTAGTTGACTTAGTTACGATTGTATTTCACGTACAGTATATACAAACTAAATAGAGCCGAATAAATGAAAATACACCAACAAAACATGCAAGATGTATTGCACAAATACTCCGGGCGTACACGATTCGCTCTCATGAGTGTTTCAAAACGTTTTATTCTAAAAAAAAAACACTAATGAAATCTTGATCGTGAAAATGCCATTATGTTGTGGCTTTGTTAGAAACAATTCGAAGGCCGAGTTGAAGGATTTGATTGACGACTGCATTGTAGGCTTGAAGGCTGTAATTGAGGGACTGTGGTCAGAGATACGAATTCCACAGCAAGATAATGGGATTACATGTCTTAAGACTGCATTAGCTGATATTATCAGAAAAATGTCAGCTGCTCATTAAAGCAGTTCGGAGACTGAAGTTACTCGGCTTCATTAAAGGGTAGTTTCTAAGCAACAGGTGGGAAATGATTCATTGAAGATGCATGGTGGTATACGTGAAGCGGATGATTGTTTGAATAATCAGTATTTAAATAATGAAAACGCAGTCCCTAGAACTGTTATTTTTGGTGATTCGTATCCTGTTTGAGATGGGACTCACAGTGACGTACACAACGCGTGTGGTACATTGAATTCAAACACGCGCTGCACGACGACCACCGCCCTTTAATATTCAAGTTACTGAGTGTGGTACTGCATTATCATACGGGTTTAGGAAGGTTTTCCTTTCTAGTGGATCACAATCAGTCAGAACCCTGATTATGCACAGAGCTTCGCATTGCTCATATAATAACCTTTTTTGAGTGAATTTTCGGTACCGTGACTTTTAATCTATCTAAAACCCGGACATTTGCTTATCACAAGTGACTTTAATGTACACGTTGATGATGCATACCAATTCTGGTGGTAGAAGTTTTGCATGAGATTATTTCTCATATCGCACACAAAATGTATACTCATACGTCGACATTGGACCGGATCGTACAACTTTTATCTTCAATTAATTATCTATATAAACTGTAATCATTTGTAAAAAGGTTTAACAACATCAACATAGACCAGTTTAGGCGGGAGGTACCAACACAATTGATTCGTGTACCAGTTGTGGATATGGATAAGATGATGTAACATCGAGTAGTCTTATAATAAATGAGTTTGAGCCTGTTATTACCAAGTCAGTCCCAGTTCGCGTATATCGGCCATGTAAGTAAGCCACGAAAGAGAGTGGAGCCGCGCTAAAGATTATGTAGACTTTATTATATTTAAAAGAAAGCATCATGAGACAAAACAAAACTTTCTAACAAAACCAGAAGGTCCATGGATAATGACAGTCAAAGGAATTACTAATATTTTCTATTGTATTGATGCGCTAGAAGTGGGGTATTTTCAGTTATTTAAACGTCGAGTCGCCGGTCACGAGCAAGCGAAAATAACGATCGATCAAAGACAAGTGTAATTAACAATGTTTCCATTCAATTATGTTTCCATGATGACCTACAATGCGCACTATAACACAGTGACATTTCTGTAGAGAAATTTAGTTGTTAGATCCATGCAGAAAACTTCATGAAAGAATTTACTCTCTAACTGTATGACCATATAAATAGTGTTCATTTTGTTTTGTTTATTACTGAATATTTTGTTTTTGTTGTTGTCTTGTGCTCTTGATCAATCAGTATTGTAAAACGCGCAAAAAAGGTGAATAAATTATTAAACTAGCAATGATTTCACGTATTTTTTTAATATGCATTTGTACAGCAGACTTTTGTTCTGTTGTTTCCTCCCTTATATTCCCATTTAGACTTTAACTATTCGCATTTTCATCATTACTCGGTGAATTAGGCATGTCTCGTGTATTGTCTGTTGTTGACAGACATAAAGTTGCCAGGTATAGGTGTAAACCGAACGTTCAGTGAAATCCAAAAGCAACTGTAAATTGTCTCTGTCTAAAATTAGAAAACATATGTCGAATATATCAGTATACGCATTTATATTAAGCGCTTCTCTGCTCGAAACAGTTTTAAAATGATTATAGACTGAAGTAGCTGGTCGTTACCATTTTCGTCAATCATAGTTTATCTATAACTCAGTACTCGGATAACAAACTAAATACTCAATTAGTTGAACACAATCATTCATTTCTTCTATTTTATTTCCATTTTTCTCATCAAGCATAAGTACAATTCTAGATCTACAAATATTATTATTTATGAATTATAGTACACATGAGCCCATTCATTCACTTTTATATCTACTTCTCTCACGATGTATACGAGGTTTTACTAAGATTGGATATCATCTCGACGGCATTTATCAAATGTATCTTTAATCCATGTATGTTTATTCTGTGTACATCATTGTGATAGCAACACTAATATATTATTGAATTATTATTTTAAAAAATAAACCAACATTTTAGCTGGCACCTTAATTGGATTCAAGTCATCACAAGTGTTTATTTTCACGTATATTAATAACTCACTGATCTTCACATTTATGATACAGTAACTCTGATTGGTTGCGCCAGCTCCTTGGTGCGTCCATGACTCAATTTAGCTGCAGTGAAATACAGCGTTTCCTAACACGATCACGCACGGGTTCATGGGCTATGAATGGTCGGCTTTAGCGAAACTGTACGATTCGGACGATGTATGTCTGGCTACGTATGAATAATCACACGTCACATCATCTGAGATTAAGTGGATTATCGTATTCAATACTAACAGTATACATGCTGGTAGGCTCAACACGTGACTCGTTTCTACTACCGTTAAATTGCTTGCCTTACTAGCACCAATGAACGACATGTATTAAGTTGTATAACGCATCCATATTGTTCATAACAATTTCGTCGTTTATATCATATCATATAAAAACGATATAAGGGCACAGTGACGTCTGTCTCCACTGCGCATTGTGGTTAAAGACGACTGGAAAATTAATAACTTAATGTATAATATATAAAGACTAAGAACGGTCAAAGTACGAATGTAGATATGCTACCATGTGTACAATATTTGCTACCTGAGTTTACATACAGCCTAACTTGGACACTGATTTGTCCAATTCCCGGCTAGTCTGGCCATGTACCATCAGCTGTAGTAATTTGTAAATTATGGTCTCACCTTTGTTTGTATCGGTTCTCCCCATGACGTTTGCGCCCCTCTTCGATTGCCAAGGGGTCGATGATTTCAATTTGACCTTCTCGACGTCCGATGATATGAGGTACGGGCACGGTATTGTTTGCCACCATCATCAAGCAAAGCTCACTGGTCGGTATCGATAATGTTGCTGACGACAGCGAAGATTTGATCCATTTTGAGGCGTAAAAGCTCGATTTCCTGTCTGCGACTGACTCAGAATTGAGTAACAATCGCGGACATTGCTCGGTTGCCACTTTAGACGGATGTTGAATTCATATCAGTGTCAGTAAATCATTAACTTGTATTTTAAACTTCAACTCATTACAAGTTCCTCTGACTATGACGTCATCGTGTCTTTGCTGCTGGCTTGGCAGTCAACCAAATGTTACACTTATCCAAAGTAGACAAATCGCGGAACTCAGAAACATATATATTGGTTTGAAGTAGAATAACGTCACCATTCAGTGGAAATGTTGGGGCGTCCGCCAAAAATAAAACAGAAACCCTTCGTGTCAGCAAAATTTGCCCTTCCAAATGCAGGAAATAGCGTTTCTAGATTTCAGCCTGAGATCTCGCCCTCATGCCAAATTTCTTGCCGCCGCCTCTGGATACAATCCGTGTATTGTGTAAGGTAAATAATTGCGCGTTCATAAGCAAGTGGAATGTTCTGATGATTTATACCTATTTAATAAAATAATGCTTCAAAATCCATTGCTTCAAAATATGAGTAATGAAAATTGCCACCACAATGTATTCTTTCTATAAGTTGCGCCCTCTAGCGACGAAGCACTAGTGTGACGTAAATGAGTGAACAGAGGGTCGTTCACACTGTGAGATTCGTTGTTTAGTCGTCCGTCACCGAAAAATAAGTGAATAAAAACAAACACAGCTTTGAGCTTTTTATTGTACTACACAGCCAAGCCGTGTTGAACTTTATGACTGTTTACGTCCATCTACGTCATTTTGACGTCAAGAAACGCCTCGTCATTAGAAAGGTGTATCATATTTTATGTAGAATTGTTAATTATTACCATGCATATATGTTTCTTCTTAATTGGCCTACCACTATTTACTAACTCCAAGTTAATGTATATTTAAATTCTTTCATAAAAAAAATCACATAAGTTTTCCCAACTACTTGTGCTATGATAATTAACTGGAGGCACTAGATGCACGCCATACTTTAAAAAGGACGTACAATCTCTCCGCACTAGATTAAAATTTCAATAAATAAATGCAGGTTAGGGATGACTTAACTCGTAGAAGCTTACCGGACTATGGGCACTAATGTCTGTACTACATATTTATATTAAACGTGCACTGGAGGTTTTCTAAGTATGGGAATATTTAATGTTATCTCTATAATATAGAGGCCTATATGTTCAATGAAAAAGCTCGGTGGATAAGATAATAGTAATTACGCAATATACTAAACGTTCAAAACATGCCTAACATGATTTTTCTGGATTGGGAACGGAGGCATTAGCAAACAAATCACTTTACGCGGACCAAAGCTGCATAATATTTTCAGTAATTTGTCAGTTTATAGTAAATTTATTTCTGTAATGAGTATCCGTAGCACACAGATTAATACGACATAATTTATTAAACACATTGCCTCAAAAAACACCAACACCTCATAGTAGGAGTATAATTAGAGTGACCTTACTGCTGTATTCTCCAAAGTCAGTGTTGCGTCAACAAATAAATAACCAAATAAGTCAATAAACAAACAAACAAATAAATAAACAAATAAATAAATAAATAAATAAATAAATAAATAAATAAATAAATAAATAAATAAATAAATAAATAAATAAATAAATAAATACACGTTTCACACGTTAGCTTCTGCTCTAATATACGTAACCTGCTAGGAGAAGGGAAATCTGCTAAATTACCCGACGTTTGGCCATGGATGCATTTACCAACGTAGGTAAATTGTGAGTAAATCCTTTTTTTGAATTTAGGGCACCCGAGGGGTCTATAAATTATGTTTAAAATTTGTCAAGGGGCCCCTTTTTGACATTTTCAATCGTCAAGGGGTTTCTTTTAAGTTTTTGACATTCAGTTTTCAGGAATTAAAGGGCTGGTATTTTTGTTGTGTTGATGTAATGTGTGATATGTCTATTTTACCATGATTTTGAATTTCTGAAATTGTATGACATGCGATAAATATCGTTATTTTCATCACAAGTTGGTGCTTGACATGCCCATTTTTAAATAATACAAGTGATCCCCGAGGGAGTTCTACCGATCGGACGATTGGCAATTCGGTTTGGAGAAGTGCGCCCTCATAAGTCGTGCAACGAAATAATATGGTCGTCCCATCTAAAGTTTCGTGCGTATTTCCCACAATTTTGACACAAAGGCCCAATGATGACCTCACGTAGTAGCTATTGTGTCATAAATAACCAAAATACATTATATGAAGTGCAATCGTTGCTGTTTACACTTTCCCTTTTCAAAATAGGTCAAAAGGCTGAGCTCCGCCCTGTTTTGATGTCAATCAACACAGAGCGGGATTTGTGAACGAAATCGCAGTTCCTCCACGATCCAAACCATATTGCAATAGTTTTGATGTTATGCGTCAACACCAGCCGACACTGAAGTTTGGTAAGTTTAATATTTTCCTGGAATGTCATTTGTTATACTAGATACTAATCCGACGATGTGCTGTATACAATCATTACATGCTCGACGACTGTGTACATCTTGTAATCTGAAATTGTCTCAAGTCGTACGTGTAATGTCCGGCCCGAGTCCGGTCTCTTTATAAATTTTCCACTTGCTAGAAACACTGTGCTTCATGGAGGTTTATTAAGTGACCATGTACCAGTCAAAGAAATATTGAGAACTTTAAGTTGAAGAAATGGACCCTTCAGATAATGCCCACACTAACAGTTATTTTTATAAAAAAAAAAATCACTTAATTTTCAGTTAGAAACAGTTTAAACATTATCTCGTGTCTGGTTACGACACTTGCCCGAGCTTGTATCCCGCCGTGGCCCGTTGTGTGTTCTGACCACCGTCACGGACGTTTGAAAAAGCCAACTTTATTGTACAACAATCATCAAAGCGCTTTTCTTTCTAGTTGAATTAGGGATTTATTTGCAAATCGTGCGACATTCTCTCTATTAGTATCCATTATCTAGTTGTTCTCATCACGCTCACTCGACAGCTTGTTTATTAAAAAAATTCTTGATTCGTCCCTCTTGATTACTAGTATGTCAAACAACAGGTTTTACTTAAAATTTCTCTATTTTGGAAAACAAATATATAGAAATACAGCATAATCATTGCATATTTGGAATGCACATTTTCTAATGTGGTAATTTAAGGTGCAGATAGGCTGTGCAATACTGCAAAAATACGACACAATGTACTAGTATATATTACCTATGGCTGTACATGTATAATAATAACTTGACTTTATTATCTGTGAATACAGTATGGTAATCAGATCAATAAATAAAATTACAATCACAAATTAAACAATTGAACAAACAAACAAACAAATGAATGGAAATAAACTTTGTCATCTTTCAACATTTCAATTAGAATCTGCAACCAATTGAGTATTGCGTTCATTTGGTCCAAAATTATCATTATATTTAGAAATTCATGTCAGGATTTTGACAGAAACAATTAGTAAATCCTAAGATTTGACAAATTTGTTGTTATTTGGATAGTACCATAACATGCAGTATGGCCAGTGTTCATATGCACAGTTATATTATTTAATATAAACTGTTTAAAATCACCTCATTTAACAATGATTCCAGTACTGTGCCATGAAAAGACAGTTCTTTATTGTGCAGTAGACCATTTAATCACTTCAATACAGCTACAGAACAAAAGGCTGCTTTAGTGCCTTATTTTTGTATGTTTGTCATGTGGCTCGGCACATGTGTGTTTTATTGTCTGCTTGGGTTTATTTGTTGCAATGAAACAGGAAGACAATTGTCTAATTACTTTGCAGTAAGTTTAATGAGTATCTAAATAATGGAACGATTTTGTGGTAAGAGTGTTTGTTGCCTGAAAAAAATGTAAAAGTCATATGTTCATGAATTTTTCAGGTCAGCAAAAATTGTGAGAAATCTCACTTCAGGATAAATTACTTTAGGCTATTGTACCACTGTTTACCCTCTTTCTACATTCATCTAGCATGGTGCTACATTTTCTGTTCCAGAGAGTAGTCGTTTTTGCCTTCAAACATGGTGACAATAAAAAAATATTAGCATCCCAATGTGTCATTTTATTGTTGACTTTTTGCATGCACAACTACTCTGTAGAGGTACCCTTACATACTTACTATCAATTGATAGTTACCACCCTATTCTTCACGAAGTTGTGAATAAATTGACATACTTAATGAGCAAGATATTAACAACATCCAGACTAATATGGAGAGGGCCTGACACTTGTATTTTTTCCAGGTTGGAATTTTATTCCAGTGTAAATTCTCTTTAGACAGGCATCACAACTTGGGACAAATAATTTTTTCACAAGATGTTCCCTGATTGGTTATATTGAGTGTTAGGTATCCAATCATTGACAGTCTTCTGACTCCTGATTACTTCATGCCTAAAAAGTGTTTATAAGATTATTCCTCATTTCTTGTTTTCAGATTGGTTTCTATGGTTATGGTAGAGCCACACATCTTATGCTGATCACAGTATGTTTGCTTTGAAAGCTGGTATTCTCGAAAAGTACAAAATCAAAGGTAAGTGATTGCAGCAATGTCGCACTCTTGATAAGGTCAAATCAACACTATGAACACATTCAGTACCGGTATTGTTTTGCATTTCTTCAAGTACTATAAACTGGTTTGTTTAGATGAGAGACAAGTTATTGCGATTAAGAGAAAATATGCAATTTTGAGAATCCAGGAAACATTGAGATCTTAAAAGGCCCATATATAGTGTACATAAACAATTTTGTTTCCATGGTGATAAATGCAGTCAACTTATATTATGAAAATTTATAGCATCGAAAATTTATAAATTAACAATAAATAAATGGCCATGGATCATGAAATGTGTTTGAAAAAAAACCTTTCTCTAAGAGTCTATGGTGAGAAGTATAAAATAACTAACATTTTATATTACTATACTATCTATTAGGAAAAATTTATACATTTTGTCACATTGGAAGTGTTTCTTGAGTATGCTTGTAGAACACACCATTGTATTTGCGTGATGTTAACTTTTGAGTGCTAGCACATGGACATGTGATGTTAACTTTTCTGAATA